CGTTTCTCAGGAGGGGAAAAAACACACAGGCACAATGAATCGTCGATTCCCCAGAACATATGGGAAAATGTGGGAAGCGGGGGGGGGGAAGACAGACACCCCGAAGATATGGGAAAATAGGGAGCATCCTCTTATTTGTGTCTGTTTATTTGTGTGTGAATGTGTGTGAATGTGTGCGAATGTGTGTGAATGTGTGTGAATGTGTGTGAATGTCTGTGTGTGCGTGTGTGTGTGTGTGTGTGTGTGTGTGTGTGTGTGTGTGTGTGTCCTGGGGCCCCTTTAGTTTCGTGGACCGGTGCGGGAGTGCCCCCGGCGGCGCCTTCCGCGCCGCCCCCCGGGTGCGCTCCGCAACGTGCGGGGGGGGTCAGTATGGGGCTCGGGGCGATGGCACGGCTCCGAGGCTCGGGTCGTTCTCCTCCCCCCTCCTCCTCCCCCATCCTCCCCCCTCCTCCCCCTCCTCCCTCTCTTTCCTCCTCCTCTCCCCGCCTCCCCTCCTCAATGTCCTCCCCCTCTTTCCCATCCCCCTCCTCCCCCTCCTCCCCCCTCCTCCCTCCTGGGCCCCGGAGCCATGATGTGACGGACTGTTCGGAGAGGATTTTGGGCGGGGGATTCCGAGGTCACCGCACGGTCTGTCACCGCACAGTTCTGGGAATCCCAGCAGGGAGGGGGATCAGCGCCGATCCCAGAACTCCGCGCGAACCCTCGACACCGAACGCGTGTGCGACTTTGTGTGTGTTCTTTGCAGAACGGCGGTGCCACGGCGGTGCCCGGCAGCGAGAAGGCCCTCAAGACCATGGTGGGCGCCGGCCCGGAGATCAACGACGGCGAGATCTGGGACCCGTTGGGCTTCGCCAAGCTCTACGACAGGAACTTTGACTTCAACATGGTAATGACGTGGCCGCACGTGCAGTGGCTGCGCGAGGCCGAGCTCAAGCACGGCCGCGTGTGCATGCTGGCGTTTGTCGGCATGGTGACCCAGTCGTTCTTCCAGATTCCGGGCGAGCCGCAGGAGCCGAACTACTGGAAGGCTCTGGATGCCTGCTACGCCGACCCTGTTGGCCGCCTCGGTGTGGTGCAGATCTCTGTCTTTATCGCGCTGATGGAGGGCAAGTACTTCCCGGAGGATGCGTGGATCGGCCAGATGGACCGTGAGCCCGGCGACCTCGGCTGGGACCCGCTGAAGTTCGCCAAGAAGCCTGGCTTTGACCTGCAGGCAGGGATCATCTCGGTTTGTTCGGCCTCGATCGATATTGATTTCCAGGCTACAACCGGTCCGATTTCGGTATTTAACGATCCGACGTGGCCTATGCTCACACGACGTAGTCGTGTGTTTTGGCGCGGCCGATTCGATTTGATTTCGATTCCGTGCCGATCTGGCGATTCGGCACGCTTCGACGTACACTCCGATCCGATCCGATTTACCGCTTCGATGTTGACTGCTCCCGCCTGCAGGAGCGGTTAGCCATCCCATGCCGACATCGCCGATCAATCGACGGTGCGGCGCGATTTTCCGACGCCATCTAATCACTCCGGGCTTCAGAATACTTGGAGGGTCAGAATCTTCCTAGACGATCTATTTCAGACCCCCCCCCAACGATCCAAAACAACCCCCCCCCTCGGAGCGAAGGAGGAGGAGGAGGAGGAGGAGGAGGAGGAGGAGGAGGAGGCGAAGGAGGAGGAGGAGGAGGAACACCATGGAACACCTGCCTCAAGAACTAGCCGCCCCCTGGCCGCGCCCAGACGGCCTCGCCCAGCCCACGCTCCGCGCCCCAGCTTGTGGACTCCCCCCTCAGCCGCGGCTCCTCCTCCTCCTCCTCCTCCTCCTCCTCCTCCTCCTCCTCCTCCTCCTCCTCCTCCTCCTCCTCCTCCTCCTCCTCCTCCTCCTCCCTCCATCCAATGGCTGTTCAAATACATAACGGAGTCCTCCCTCTCGCGCCCCCAGGCGTGTCGGCAAGGCGGCCTGGGACCGACGGTCGAGACACCTCAGCGCCAGCCCGCCAACGGCCAATCCCCGGACACGTTTCGAGGTTGGGGTCCCTCCTCCTAATTTTCGTTGTGCATCTGTCTTGCGTTGCATGCTGCCCAGACGCGCCAGCTTCCCGAGGCCACGGCCTCGCCCCCCCGGTCCTGAAGTAGGCCCGGGCGCTGCCCGCAACGGTGGTCGCAGGTCCGCCGAAAACTCATCGAAGCGCAGAGCTCCCCACACACGCCATCGAGACCCACCCCCCTGGCGGGGCGCGGGCACAGCGCCGGTCACATTCTTGGCGGGGCGCGGGCACAGCGCCGGTCACATTCTTGGCCAGTCACATTCTTGACGCTTCGCGTATCCCCACAAGAGCTGGCACACGCTCAGCGGCTTTTGGGGTCCGCGTGACGGCTGCAGGGCTTCGGCTGTCCCCAGCGCGGTTGCCCTCTTCTGCTGACACACGCTCAGCGGCTGGGCTCGCGTTCGGTTCGCTTCCACCCGCGGGCTGAACCGTGGCCGTCTCTTTCTAATTATCTGCAGGTGCACTCTGCGCGTTGTCGCGCCAATTATCTGTCGCTGTGCCACAGCCTCGGTCACACCGCCCTCTGGACTTCTCCTTGCGGGCCGCGAATCAAAAAAGTATCCCCGTAAGGCTGCAAATTAGCCTCGCCCGTGGCCCGGACGTCGCCTTCGCTCCCTGACACTAGTTTCGGGGCCGCTGACCAGAAAAAAACGTATCCCCACAAGGCGCCCCGGACTTACGACTCGCCGCTTGCGCTCTCGCCTGCGGCTGCGACCAAAAAAAATATCCCCACAAGGGCCTCTCTTCACTCTTGCGCCGACACGATGCAGTTGTGTCGCCTACGGCACGGACGTCGTCCGGGTGTGCCTGTCGGTCCTGCTCGTCTCTGACAGTGCCTTGTGCCTGATTCACACCGAGCGATCGACATCTGCGTGTTCATGGTCGCGCCGCCGCGCCATTTTGGCCGCGCTTACTTGCCGGTCGCCACCGGGATTTCGTACGCCACCGGGTTTGGGAGCATTGGATCCAGCTCTCCTTCTGAGTGGCTGCCCGCTCGCTCGCTTCGCTTGCCTTTCTTTTCCTGCTGCTTAGTCGCGGCCCGACTAGTGTTCGGACGGTTTTCGGCTTATTTCGCGAACCCGCAGACCAAAAAAAAAGTATCCCCACAAGGCCCGCCCTGGCTTTGCCCGGCTTTCGACCCGCTTCGCGAGCCCGCGTGCCAAAACCTCTTGGAGCGTTTTGGGAGCCTCTTGGCGGTCCCGGGAGCCTCGTGGAGCGTCTTGGGTGTCTGGGGGAGCCTCTTGGCGGTCTCTTGGGAGCCTCTTGGAGGCCTCTCGGGCGCCTCTTGGGGCCTCCTGGACGCCTCTTGGGGCCCTCTTGGGGCGCTCTTGGAAACCTTGGGAGCGCTTGTGGGGCCATCTTGAAACACGTCGATCAAAAAAAAAGGGAGCTTAAGTTAGGCCCCCTAGCCCCAACAAGTGCATTTCGGACCCTTTTTGGAGCGCGGCGCTCTTGGGGCCGTGCTGGGGCCCTCAGGGGCCCCCCGGACAGATCCGGACAGCCCCAGGAATCTTTAGGAATCCTAGAGGTTTCTTATGAATCCTAAGGAATCCATTCCCAGAACACCATTCCCAGGCCACATTTTGAATGCCCGGAGCCAACAGTAGGCCACTTCGTGTTCTTCGTGTTCCCAGAACACCATTCCCAGGCCACATTTTGAATGCCCGGAGCCAACAGTAGGCCACTTCGTGTTTTTCGTTTTCCCAGAACACCACTCCCAGGCCACAGTTTGAATGCCCGGAGCCAACAGTAGGCCACTTCGTGTTCTTCGTGTTCCCAGAACACCGTTCCAGTACGTACCATATGTTGATTGCCCGGAGCCAATTGTGGGCCACTTCGTGTTCTTCGCTTTCCCAGAACACCACTCCCAGGCCACATTTTGAATTCCCGGAGCCAACAGTAGGCCACTTCGTGTTCTTCGTGTTCCCAGAACTCAGAACACCACTATTGTACCATATTTTGATTGCCCGAGCTGAGGCAGGCTGAGGCCGAGGCAGGCTGAGGCCGAGGCAGGCTGAGGCTGAGGCTGAGGCTGAGGCACGCCGAGCAAGGCTGAGGCTGAGGCTGAGGCAGGCTGAGGCTGAGGCAGGCTGAGGCTGAGGCTGACGCAGGCTGAGGCCGAGGCAGGCTGAGGCTGAGGCTGAGGCAGGCTGAGGCTGAGGCAGGCTGAGACTGAGGCTGAGGCTGAGGCTGAGGCTGATGCAGGCTGAGGCTGAGAGGCTGACGCTGAGGCAGGCTGAGGCCGAGGCAGGCTGAGGCTGAGGCCGAGGCTGAGGCAAGCCGAGGCAGGCTGAGCCTGAGGCTGAAGCCGAGGCAGGCTGAGGCTGAGGCTGTGGGTGAGGCAAGCCGAGGCAGGCTGAGGCAGAGGCTGAGGCAGGCTGAGGCTGAGGCTGAGGCTGAGGCTGAGGCTGAGGCTGATGTGAGGCCGAGACAGGCTGAGGCTGAGGCTGAGGCAGGCTGAAGCTGAGGCGGAGGCCGAGGCAGGCTGAGGCTGAGGCTGAGGCTGAGGCTGAGACAGGCTGAGGCTGAGGCTGAGGCAGGCTGAGGCTGAGGCAGGCTGAGGCTGAGGCCGAAGCAGGCTCAGGCCGAGACAGGCTCAGGCTGAGGCTGAGACTGAGGCTGAGGATGAGGCCGAGGCAGGCCGAAGCTGAGACAAGGTGAGGCTGACTGGGGGGGGAAGGGGGGGGGGGAGGAGGGGAGGCGGAGGCAGGCTGAGGCCGAGGCAGGCTGAGGCTGAGGCTGAGGCAAGCCGAGGCAGGCTGAGGCTGAGACTGAGGCCGAGGCAGGCTGAGGCTGAGGCAGGCTGAGGCTGAGGCTGACGCAGGCTGAGGCCGAGGCAGGCTGAGGCTGAGGCTGAGGCAGGCTGAGGCTGAGGCCGAGGCAGACTGAGGCCGAGGCTGAGGCAAAGCCGAGGCAGGCTGAGGCTGAGGCTGAAACTGAGGCAGGCTGAGGCATCCGTAGGAATCCATAGGAATCCTTAGGAATACCTCGGAATCCTTAGGAATCCGTAGGCATCCTTAGGAATCCGTAGGCACAGTTAAGCACCCTCAGGAATCCTTAGGAATCCTTAGGATTCCCTAGGAATCCTTAGGAATCCCTAGGAATTCCTAGGAATCATGATTGCTAAGGATTCTCCAGGTTTCCTAAGGATTCCTATGGATTCCTAAGGATGCCTTTGGAATACATAGGAATCCTTAGGATTCCATTGGATCCTAAGGCCGTTGCCACTGCGACTGTCATTGCGAATGCGGCTGCGACTGCGAGAACAGCAGAATTCTACAACTGGATTCTCACCTGAATCTTAAGGGGAATGCTTCCAGATATGCTTATACACATCGCTGTTAGGCTGCTTTGCCTGGAAATTGTTGTACCAGGGATGGTGGGGGGAGGCCGCATCGGGTTCGCTGCGCATGCTCCGAATTTGGAGGCAGAGTGTGTTTTGTATTGTTTTTTGTTACCAGGAATGATAGGGGGGCCCTCATTGGCTCGGGTTGGCTCCCAGTCGCCTTGGGGACGGGGTGTATACTAATAGGGAACAGTGATCAAGCCTCCCACCCGCCCGCAAGCCGCCTTGCTCACTCCCACCCGCCCTCCCAACACAGACGTGACACCCGGGAGTCAGCATATCGCGTAAGAGCGCGGCAGACGCCACGGGTTCCAGATGCACCAGACCCAGACCCCCGACGTCATGATTTTTTCATGACGTCGACCCCCAGAGATCTCGACCCATTCATTCCACGGGACCGGTTTTTCATCCTGAGTCGTTTTTTGACGGTCCTGAGGGCCGGTTAGGGCCTCCAAAAGCCGAAAATTAGGAAAAACTTCCCGTCATGATTTTTTCATTACCTGAGGGGGTCTGGGGACCTTGGAGGCCCAAGCGTGCCAGGCGTGCCAGGTGCGGCACGTGCTCCACGTGCGCCCAGGGTTCCACGTGCTCCAGCCGCGCCAGGTGCGCCAGCCACTGGGGACCAATAGGGGCTCTTGGGCCCGGCTTTGAGTTTTCTTACGGTAGGTTGGCGTCGTGTCGACCAGCGGCGACCCCGCCGCCGACGTTCAACGTTGAACGCCGACGGCGACCCAGAATCGATCGATGTTGAACGATCGGACGTTGCGGCAGCGGCCGATCGTTCAAGGTTGAACGATCCTTGCGGTGTCAAAAACCAACGCTGGGGTCGGCACTACACGAACCTGCCGTAGCCAAATTGGGAGCCATGTGGAGGTTTCGAAATCCCATCGGAAACGGTAAGGCGAAAAGGCAGCAGCCACTGATGTGTAAAACCAGATTGACGACCACCTGCGCTCAGAAAGCAGGAGGGATCTGCTGGCGCCCCAGCCGTCCCTGTAAAATACCAATGCGAAATTGTCGCGGGGCGGCCGCGCATGCTCCAGATTTGGAGGCAGAGTTCGCTTTGACTTTTTTTTGACAGGGATGGTAGGGGGTGTGGCCCTCATGGGGTCGTCATGGTTCCGGGATGGCCGCCGGCTGGGTGGGGGAGGGGGTGTATATCAATAGGGAGCAGTGATAAACCCCTTCCCGAGGGGGAAGAGGGAGGGGTTGGAAGAGAAGCGCCCTAGACCACATAATTACGCCCAGAGGGCTGGGGGGATTCGAGATCCCCACCCAATGCCACCGACAGCTGGAGCCAGACCTTACCCCGTGGCGCAGCAGGGCCACAGCGCAATCAGTGCCCAGTACCCCCTTGCACAGGTTGCCACCGACAGCTGTAAGCGAACTCCCCTTTGGCCAATAGTGGACGCCGCGCCCATCAAAGCCACTGACAGCTGCGCCTGGACCCTGCTGTGCCATGGGCGGACACCGCGCCGATCGAAACCTAACAAATGGCCGCGCGACGACTTCGATATGATCCCAAGACGATCCCATGACCTCAAGACAACTTTACTCTGACTCCAACGTAATCCTAGGGGCGACCCCTATATAACCCTGTAGCCCAAGAGTGGCCCAAGACGGTTCCAACGTAACCCTCAAACGATTCCAGTAACTATGACCCCATGGCGACCCTACGAGCCGAAAGCGACACTTAGAGGGCCCGGATACCTGCCCAACGTGATTCCTAGAATATCTCTCGATCTTGAGATGGCGCTGAAGACGCCCCCAAGATGGCCCCAATGCGATCCCATGACCTCACGATGACTTCAAGACTACTCTCAGCCTAAACTTTGCAGAACCCCCTGATCCCAATGTGGCCCTCAAGAAAATCCTCCAGGTGCGTCGCAATAACCCCCTAGCGTCTTTCAATACATCCCCAAAAGTTCAAAGGACGATTCCATGACCACGAGGGGACCGAAATGCGACCTCAAAATGGCCCAGGGGCACCAAGATGACTTCAAGGCGACCCTTCCAGCACCCTCGTTTTCATAATATTGTCGTGACGGCTGTAGACCCGCCACCCGACACCACCGACAGCACCAGGCATATCCCATGGTTTGGGGAGCGCCCCAGGCCCATGGCCTCATTCGGAATATAAACGTGCGCATTGATTTTTGATCTCGCTCGCTCATCGCAAGCACTGCGCACTCATGGCAAGTCCGCCGATCCAGCGCGTGGGTTCGAAGACTTGATTTAAGTCGGACATGTCCCTCTACAGGACGAACATTGAAAAATTGTCGAAAATAGTCATGTGGCAAGTTTTCACGCCATGTTCAAAAGACTCCCCAAATAGTCTGGAAGTAGTTTTCTGGATACTGGCTAGGCGAACGTACGATACACGCGGTAGGAAAACACGATGCGCCGCGTAGCGCCACCATTACTTGTTTCGCCGCACTTGGTGGCGGCAGCGAGCGATATCGCGTTTTAGCAGAGGCGTGCGTCTATGGCGATGTGGTGCGGAAGTGGCGGAACAAGGCGATCCTCCAGTAGGGATCGCGGCTTTTACAAATTTGTTTTGGAGTATCCCCCAAGTATCTTTCGAAGTGGTTTCATAATCAACGGAAAAGTATGCTTTGACTACCTTTAATGTTTCTTTCAGAAATCGCCTGTAGGAGGACACGCCCGACATAATACTTGATGCGATCGCCCCTTCCATCAATTACGTTTCCTTCTTCATTGCGAATACAAGCGATGACAGTTCGAAAAACGCCAGGTGCCCGAGCCAGCGGCCGCGGGCAGGTTGCTGTTTGATCGATGTTGTCGCTGGTGTGATGTTTCGCTCGTGACTGTGGAGGCAGCGCCTAGACAGTTTCAATACAATACAGCATGACACAGAACGATCCCAGGTGTCCTAAGCGACACTCAGATGACCCCAGCAAGACCCAAGACAAATTTGCGGCCCTAAGACGGCCCCAAAACGACCCGAGGTTAACCGCGATATGACTTTATTATGGCCCCAGGAATACTCTATGACCCCAAGACGCCCCCATCCAGTGATGACCCCACGCCCCCAATATAACCCAAGTGCTACCTCAGAATGATCAGAATGATCCTTATACGATTCCTCCAAGATTCCAAGAGGACCCTAATATGACCATCGGATGATCCCAAGTGGCCCCCCAGGTGACCCAAGGATAATCCCGTGGCCCCAATAGTATACCTCACGATGGCTCCGAGAAGACCACAAGATGACCCCAAGATGGCACCAGAATAGCCCTAAATATGATCCGTGACACCGAGACTACCTCTGCTCACGTCGTCGCGCAGACCCACCCCCGAAGAAAACGTCCAATTCCCTGGCGACGCAACCCGGACCCTTCACGAAGAAGCCCCAGACAAGTTCAGGGAGACCCCCTTCCACCCGAAGGCTGGCAGTCGAAACATCGAACAGCAAACAACTTCTGAGAAGCTCCAGACTTGTTCGCGGACCCCCACCCCCTCGGCCGAGGGCAGGCGTTGGAAGTGTCAATAGGCAACTCCCCCCCGGAAGCTCCAGACAGGATCGCAGAGACGCTCCCTCCAGCCGAGGGCTGGCATTCGAATCATCACAGCGCACTCCCCCAGGAGTTCCAGGCAGGCTTACAGAGATCGCCCCTCTAGCAGAGGACGAGAGGTCCAAACATTAGAGTCTGGACCCCCCCGAAGTTCCCAAACAGCGTTGAGGAGACTCCCCCGTGTGATCGTGTTTTTATTCATTGTTTTGCCGATTGGCGTGGGCCTCAAACACCCCCCTCCCCATGGAGTGGATCTTGGCTGTTTTTTTGCATCTGTCTCGAGCAGGTGGAGCCTCCCCCATAGTGGGCGCCCTGTTGCAAACAGTCGCGTTAAGCAGAGGTCCGGAGCCAGACCCCCCCCTCCTCTCCCCCCCCCTGGCCGCCCAATGTCGAAACGCCGAATAGAAAAACGCCCACCCTGCCGATCGAAGGCCGACATGGAAGAACATGGCGCAGATCAAGCGCAGGCCTCCCCGCCCCCGCAGTTTGTGTTTCGCACCACGCTGAGACAGACCCCCCTCGCTGGGCCAACGGACAAAATGAAGTCGAAGGCCACCCCCCAGCACTTCCCAGACTGATCGAAGCAGACCCCGCCACGCCAGACTCCGTGGACTGCAGGATCAGACCTGTGGCCCCCCTGCGACAAGACAGCTCGAACCAGACCTCCCCCGAGTCAGACCCCCCTTTTGTCGTGATATCGGGGGCACCCGGACCCCAGTCGAGCGACGTCGACCGCGCGGGCATGCCATCGCAAGCTGCTGGCGTAAAGCCGCGCGCGGGCGCTTGGTCTGCACCCGGCAAGCCGTTCGGGTGGCCCGGGGGAGGTCGGCGCAGGAGGCCGCCGCGTCGTCGTTTGCTAGGCCCCGTCTTCTGCGTCGCCAATCTGTACTCTGGATCGCTTAATAATCGCCCCCCCATTGTCACCACCCACCAAACCACCCCAACCCAACCCGAAGGCTTCAATTTGCTCTCCATTTCCAGTGGGGGGGGGGGCGGGGAACATTGAGAAAACACATATGGAACCCATACCCCACCCAACCCGAAATTCGGGTCTTCGGGTTGGGTTGGGGTGGTCTGGTAGGTAGTCACCTTGGAGTGCCCAGGGAGGTTGGCCGCGGCGCGTCCGCGGGGGTGCCAGGGGGTGTCTGGGGTTCGATCCCTTCCCCGCTGGGGCGCGGGGGTGGTGCCAGGGGCGGGGTTGGCCGCGCCGCGTTTTCACGTTTGTCATCCCCCGGTTGATTAATACGAAGGTCGGAGTAATGCCTGGGCGGCCTTTAAGGATGAAGCAGCTCAGCAAGCTCAAGAACGGCTGCCTGGTGATGATGCATCACCAGGGCGCACGCTCTTGAGCACGTGCTCGCCATCTTGGCATCCCCGATCCTTTGGCGACGCGGCGCGATCTTCCGGCCCTGTCTGCTCCTGCGCTGTTTCGGCAGCTCTGCACGAACGAAATGGGCACGGAAAGAATGGGTACATTCATTCTGAACAGGACTCGCTGTCCGCGCCGCCGCGGCCTGTGTCCATTCGAGACAGGAGGCCGCCTGCCCAACAGCGGCCGCTGATGGTTTGGGACAACATTTGTTGTTGGGCATTGTACCCATTCTTTCCGTGCCCATTTCAGGCGTCCAAAGCAGCCTCCCGACAGGAGAAGCAGCTCACCGAGCTCAAGAACGGCCGCCTGGCCATGATGGGCGTCGCGTCCCTGGCCTGCGAGCACGTGATCCCGGGCTCCGTGCCGCTGCTGTCGGGCGCCCCGTGAGGGCGCGTCGCCGTCTTGTCAGAGGAGGAAGAGGAGGAGGAGGAGGAGGAGGAGAAGGAGGAGGAGGAAGAGGAGGAGGAGGGGGGAGGAGGGGGAGGAGGAGGAGGAGGAGGAGGAAAGAGGAGGAGGAGGGGGAAGAGGAGGAGGAGGAGGAGGAGGAGGAGGAGGCAGGGGAGGAGGAGGCAGGGAAGGAGGGAGTTAGGAAGGGAGGGAGGGAGGATAAACAGAGGGAGGAGGATCAGACCACAGACCTCCGACGTCGTGGCGTTTGTCATTGCAGGGTCCGTGGAGCTCCTGACCCGACCGCTGGGACCAGCTGTTCGTCGCGACTTATCCTTCGAGGGCCCCTGCGCCCGGAACGGGCCTCCGGAGGCCAAAGCTGAGGAACCTCGGTCGTCGTGGTTTCTCCGTGGCGCCAGAGGTCTAGGGCTGAAGATCGGCTGTAGGCTTGCGCAGGCCGTTTGAGTGTTTTTATGTTGGACGCCGCCATCGTCCCTGCACCAGGCGGGCGGCTTGCTGTCTGATCGACTCTTCCTCCATCCTTTGTTCTCATCCTCTCCCTCCCTCTCAACCTCCTTTCCTGCTGCTGCTGCTCCTCCTTCTCCTTCTCCTCCTCCTTTTCCTCATCATCATCCTCCCTCTACCTCCTCCTTCCTCGTCCCTCCTTCCTTCCTTCTTCCTTCCCAACCTCATCATCGTTACTAATTCCCGAATCATCGTCGTCGTCCTCCTCCTCCTCCTCTTCAGATAGCTACCTTCGTGCGATTTGATCGGAGCGAAGAGTGGGCCGTAACCCTCTGGGCTCAAGCCGGAAAGGCAGGCGCATCCCACGCAATCCCTCTCCGAATACATCGTCCGCGAGCTCACGCCTTGGCCTGGCGTGGCGTGGGTCGCCGAGTCCGCCTCGACTCGCTGTGGCTCGTGCGAGCCGCCGCTGGCCTGCCCAGCGATCCCCGACCGCGCCTGCGGCGCCGTCGGAGGCGGGCGGGCCGGCGCCTGCGGGCCCCGCTCCCTCTCGGGAGACTCTCCATGGGGGGGGGGATCCCATGGGGGGGCAGGAGGGGATCCCCCCCATGGGATCCCCTCCTGCCCCCCCATGGAATCCCCAGGGGATCCTATGGGATCCCCCCCCCCTGGGATCCTATCCCCCCATGGGAACCCCCCCCCATGAAGAGTCTCCCGACCCTCGCGGCGGCCGCGATCGGCCGGCCTGTCGGTGGGGGTGCTCCTCGGCTGTTGCCTGACGTTCTGGACTGCCCGCCCCAGCCGCGGCCAGGCGGCCCTGGCCCCCGACATCGGGCGTCTCGAAAACATCGAGACGGAGGTTTTTCATCGTTTTCGGCCTCTCGAGGCCCTCGCTGGGCCTCGGGACCGTCAAAAAACGACTTGGGACGAAAAACCGGCCCCGGGGAAGTGGTCGGGAGATCGGGGGCCCGTGTCTCGAAAAAATCGAGACGTCGGATGCCTGGGGCCATCGGCCCGCGCGGCGCGGCCCCTGCTGGCGGCGCGGACCTGGCGGCGGGGGCGCAGGCACAGCTGCGCCAAGTGCGCGCGCGGCGCAATGGCGGCGCAGCGCCGGCTTGACGTATGGTTGACGAGGTTCAATGTGCCGGGACCGGTGCTATACCACGAGCGGGTGCACGTGTTGCGCGGCCCGGCTAGCACAGCCTTCGTGGCCTCGCCCGACGGCGGCTATTAGGAGAACAGTGCGGTGCCCGATGCGGACGTCGCCGAGACGATCCAGCTTGCCGGGCTCGGGGCAGCCGTTCCCGGAGGCCCGCCTCAGGACGAGTCCGGCAGCGGCGGTGGTCTGGACGGCCATTCAGGACGCCGCGCGGACGTACGGCGTGGCGCTGCCGCCCTCGCCCGCCCGCGGCAGTGCCCGTCGCGGCCGGCAACCCCGACGGCCTGGCGCCAGGGCTGCACGTCATGGCCGCGCCCGCGGCGATAACGGCGGCGATCTCCCCCGCTGGGGCCGGCGTCGCACCGCCCGCCGTCGGGGCCGCCGCAGGCGCGCCGCCAGCCGCGGGCCCGCCCGCAGGGCTGCCCGACTTGGTCGCGGCCTCGGGCGGGCCAGCGCTTGGAGCCGCTGCTGCGCCCGCGGCCGCGGCCGCGGCCGCCCCGCCGATGATGCTGGCTGCCCCCGGCGGCGCGCTGGCGCCCCCAGCCCCGCGGCCGCTGCCGCCGCCGCGGTTCCCGCCGCGGCGGCCGTGGCTGGCGCGGGCGCAGCAGCGCCGGCAGTTGCGCCCCCCGCGGAGGCCGCGGCCGCCGTGCGGGATCTCCGCTGCCAGGTCATCCTGGTCAGCGCGGCGGGCCAGCGCTGGCGCGACTTCGCGGATGGCGTCGCGCTCTCCTCGTCGACGCTCTGGATCGATTTCCCCGTGCGGGGGCCCCGCTCTGCGCTCTGGGTTGGCGAGCACATGCGGCCTGGCGCGCGAAGTTCTCGGCCGAGTGGGGCCTCGGCCAGGGCGACCCACTCGCGGTCGAGAACGCTCTCCTCTGCAAGATTCTGGAGCTGGTGGCGTGCTACGACCAGGTCAACCTCGGGGAGCTGGCGCGCGTCGAGCTGGCGGCGCGCCGCCTCCAGCTCGCGGAGTAGAAGGTGACGGGGCGGGCCCTCGCCACGTTGGCGAGCAAGGACAAGGACAAGAGCAAGACGAGCTTCGACGACAGGATCGAGTTCGACATGTCCCTCGGCGCGAGGGAGAGCCGCGGCAACATCTGCGCGCGCCCGGCTCTCCACCAGCGGGCTGCGGAGGAGATGGAGGCGGAGGTCGCCGCGGCCAAGGAGATGCGCAAGGCCCGCGAGGAGCGGGCGGCGCGCACGCAGCTTTTGACCCTCTTCGCCTGGCGGCAGGGCCCTCCTTCGAGGCCGGCAGGCCCCTCGGCCCCTGGGGCGACGCCTGGCCCGGCGCCGCTTGCAGCCGCTGCAGATTGGCATCGTGATATTGTGCCCATGCTACAGTTTGGCGTTGACCTTCGACGCCGCGCAGGGCAAGCGCGTCGGTCTCGGCGGCGACGGGATCGCGAAACTCCTCGGCATGAGTGGGCCAACGAGTGCGTCGCCAGTCTCGGCGAGATGAACGGCCGCGTCGGCGCGTCCACGATCGTCACCTCGGCGGCTGATGGAAGCAATCTGCCCCAGCGCATGCCCCCCCCCCCCCCCTCAGCATCGTCGACTCTTTCGCGCATCTTCGCGGCCCTCGGACGCCCCGCGCTCGGAGGCCGCTGCAGAAGCCGCCCTTGCAGAGCTGCTCCGCGACCCTCCTGGCTGCTAGGTGAGGCGACCTCGCGTCCTGGGCCGCCGCCGGTGCTCGGCCAGTTCCTCAGTGGACTTGCCGGCGCGGTCCCTAAATATAGACTAGCGGCTTGGAGGCAGAACATGCTCGCAAGTGGCCTCGAGGCGCAAGCTAGGCAGGCTTCGCGCGGCATCTCTCGTCCATGCGTGGGCCCAGTTTTGATGGGGGGCCCTCGCAGTGCGCCGACTTCCTGCGACAGTTCGTCTCCACGGGCACGCCGCGTTCCACGCAGGGGGCGAGAGGCTTGCACCGCCTGGGTTTTCTTCGTCGAGAAGACGGGCGGGGCCCTGAGGATGGTGTCCGACACGCCTTTCGCACGCGCGATGTTTGGCGCCCGAGGGCGCGCGACTACCCGCTGGCGCAGCCTGGTCTTCAGTCCAGTTGGAGCCAGGCGCGAATGCCAAGTTGGCTTCAGCCGGTATCAAGTGCGCCTTCTACCACATGGCGCCACCCGCCGACGTGGCGGGCGTCTTCGCCCTGCCCCGCATCACGAACTGGGCGTTGGGGCTCGCAGCTTTCGGCGCGGACGTCGACGTGGTGCCTGGGCTTCCGGTTGCGCCTGCGGGCTGGAACTGGGCCCTGCGCTACTGCCAGGACACCCTCGTCACCTGTATGAAGGAGGCCCCCAGCAGCGGGGGCGACCAGTTCGTCGTCGACGGCGCGGCGCCGCACGTGCTCGCCGCCCCCGGCGACTGGGCGGTCGCAGCCGACGCGGGCAACTTCTGCGCAGTGGCCGCCGACCCGAGGCGGGCCGGCTCGGTGGCGCAGCAGGTCGCCAGCGCCCTCCGCCGGAAGGGCTTGCCCATCCACGACGAGGAGGGGGCCCCCGCGTCGGCCGCGCTCACGGTCTTGGCGTTCGACGGGCGACGTGGCCTGATTCGGGTTCCTCACCGCCGACTCGCACTGCTACGGCTGGCGATTCAGGCGGTGCTGCGGCGCGGCCGGCGGGCGCCCGCTGCCGCGCCGTCGCTGGTGGGGCACATGACGCGGGCCATGCTGTGCCAACGGGGGTGCTTCGCCATGCTGTCCGCCGGGCACGCCCTCGCCCACGGGCGGTCGACTGATTGACGGGAGCTTTGACCGAGCGTGGCCCGCGAGCTGTTCCGGGCACTGGCGTCGCTCCCGCTCTGGTCCACTTCGTGGGGCGGCTTGGGCGGGCGCCCGGCGCCGCGGCCCCCGACTCCTCGGACTGCGGCGTAGGAGTTTGCCGCCGCTAGATCTGTGGACCAGGCTCGTGCCATCGGCGTCGCCAGTGAGAAACTTCGGTCGCAGGTCGTAAGGCGCTGCGCCCCGGGAGCCCCGACGGCGCCCCGCAGCTGGCCCCCAGCGAGGCCTCGGGCTTCACCGCTTCGGAGCTTAACTGTTTCGCGCACATCTTGAGGGATGAGCGCGCGTCTCATCCGGAGGGCCATCGAGATGGCGGCCCCAGGGACCTCGCAGAGGTGCCACCCCGAAGCCCGCCGACTGGGTCACCGCCCACTCGAGCAGGGTTTTTTCTCAGTGGAAAGAGCAGTCTGGAGTCTGAGGGGTGCGCGATGGAGTTCGGGCTTCGGCGCCTCTTCCCCACCTCGGGCCTCCGCCGTCGCCGTCTATTTTCTCTCGTGGACAATCTTGCCCTAGCCCTCAGCGCGGGCCTTGGCCGCGGCCGCTCGCGCGCCATGCAGCGGCCGCTCCGCAGATGTGCCGCGAAGCTCCTGACCAGCGGTAGTCGCACATGCACCCGCTGGATCCCGTCCGATGCCCCGTCGAGGCGCGGCTTCTTCGTCGGCCCTGACTGGCGCGAGGAAGATAGTTGGGCAGAGGGAGGTGGCGGTTCGGAGAGAGGGCCGTCGGCCGCCCCCCAGGGGCACCTCGCTGGCGGTCCAGCGCCGCCTGCCAGCGGCGGGCCTGGCGCAGCTGGCAGCAGGACAGCTGTCCTTCCTGGAGGGGGCCGCTGCGACAGATCGGACGAGCCGCCCCTGCGCCCAGCGCGCCAGCCGCTTCGCCGAGCGGCGCCGCCGGCAGGAGCTCAGCTGGACATCGACGGCGGAGCTCGACGTGATGCTGGCGGCCGTCCTGGATCACCTGGCCTTGGACGGCCTCGACGCGGCGACGGGCCGCGCGACCGTCGCGGCCTCCTGGCCCTGCGCCCCAGGACTGGGCTGGGACAGGGCGCCCCTACCGAGGGCCTCGAGGGCGCTGGGCGGCTGGAAGAAGCTAAAGCCGCCGACCATGCGGCGGCCGCTGTCGCGGCTGGCAGCAATGGTTGTGCCGGGGGTCTTGTTGTCGCGGGGGCAGGTCGAGATCGCGCTCTCCACGCTGATGTCGTTTGCGGCCTACTCGCGGCCATCAGAAGTAGACGGGTACCAAGGCATTCCCTGGCCGCGCCGAACACGGCGTCGGGGGCGGCCCGCGCCGAGTGGGGCTTCATCGCGAACTCGGCCGTGGCGGGCGCCCCGGTGAAGACAGGCCCCGCCGACGAGGTCGCGGCGCTGGGCCAGCGCCAGTGGTGGCCCCTCTGGGCCGCGCTGCGGCAGGCTCGGGCGCCGCCGACCCCCGTGGACATTCTCGGCGGGCGAGGCCCGCCTGGCCTTCAACGACGCCGCGGGTCTCATGGGCATCGAGGGCCAGCCATCGCTGCGCGCCCCGAGACACAGCGGCGCCAGCGACGACCTGCTCGGGCCCTGCAGGCCGCCGGTCGACATCAAGGCGAGGGACCGCTGGGTGACCGACGCTTCGCTGACGCGGTACGCCAGGCGCGCCCGCCTCCAGCGCAGCCCCAATCAACTGGGCCCCGCCGTCTTCAACTTCGGCCAGCTGGTCGAGCAGAGGCTGGTCCAGCTCGTGGAGGGCGCCTCGCTGGGCAAGCCGCTCAGCCCCGCTGCCCCGGCGGCGCGCGCGGCGGCCGCGACCCCTCCAAGACCGTCGCCGCCTTCGATGACGACCAGACGGCTACAGTTAGTTCTCGACCGCGTCTTCGGCCGCGCCACGAAGGCGGCCCAGGCGTTGAAGCGCAGCGTCTGCCTTGGATCAGGCGCCTGTGCCCGGCCGAGCGTGGACAGATGGGGAGCTGCAGGCTTTGGAGCCATTCTGATTGATCCTTCTGCTAGCCCTGCCCTGGACCTTGGCCGCGCAGTCGTCTTAAACCGTTTGCGAGGTTGGGTTCGTGGTCCGCGTGCGCTGGGCGCGGGGGGGCTCTGTCCTTCGGTCTCGAAGGGCCCGTCGCGTCGGTTCTAGGTGACTGCGTGGCATTATCGGTCCCCCTCTGCGTGCGAGCTGCCCCAGAGAATTGTCAGTCGCTTCCTGTCAGACTCTGCGCTCAGCATTTTCATTTTGTTGTCCAACACATGTGCCAGTTTGGAAGCCCGTGCATGAGGCCGACTCGGGCCGACTCGAATCTGGGCCTGGAGGGCGCTAGCATTGCCCCGCCGGCAGTACCCTGGGGGGTCATTGTAGATGGCCGCGTCCTCGTGCTTACCATCGCCAGCATCATCGCCACCAGCACCACCATTACCACCACCAGCAACATCGTCACCAAGGTCATCATCATGACCATCACCATCATCGTCGTCGTCATCGTTTTTCCTCCTCCTCCTCCTCCTCCTCCTCCTCCTCCTCCTCCTCCTCCTCCTCTTCCTCGTTATCCTTCTGCTTCCCACCTTCGTCCCACCTCCTCTTTCTCATCGTTGTCCGCGTCACCCTCGTGCGCCCCTCCCGTCATCCTTCTCCCTCCCATCCGTGGCCAGTTTGGCTTAAGCCATTCTGGCTCAAGCCATTCTGGCTCAAGCCATGTTGGTCCAACCCTCAAGCGCCCCTGGGCTGCACCAATTTCTTGTGCCCGCTTGAGAACCCCCCGTCGGGGTTAACGCAGGGAGTTTCTCGCTCACAGTCCATGAAGCAGGGCGATGGCTCGGGGGCGGGAGTCCAGTCTGGCAAGTGGAAGTGCAGCAGGTGCGGATGCAGGACAAGTCTATTCCGCTGGTGGCGTTGCAAACACTGCCGTGCTATCCCCGGAGTTGACCCCAGCTATTCACCGTCCCCACGGGTAAGCTGGGACTGGGACAAGGAAGAGATAGAAAGAGGGTGTGATGCAAGTGGCAGCAGATTGGTTCAAGCTTTTCTTCTTGCTCGTCCTGGTCCACAATTTCTCGCGTCGGGCCCCACCAGTCACCACCCACCAAACCACCCCATTCCAACCCGAAGGCCCCAATGTATCCTCGATTTCCAGTGGGGGGGGGTCGTGGAACATCGAGAAGACACACATGGAACCCGAACCCCCCCAACCCGAAATTCGGGTCTTCGGGTTGGGTTGGGGTGGTCTGGTAGGTAGTCAACCAGTCTCGTCCGACGCCAAGCTCGAGGATCTCAGGAGGGAAAGAAACACACAGACACAATTAATCGTCGAGTCCCAGGAAAATATTGGAAAATATGGGAATTGGGCGGGAAGACAAAAAAAAACGAAACTATGGCAAAATATAGGGGAATCATTTTATTTGTGTGTATTTATTTGCGTGGCCTTGGGCCATGGGCCCCTTGGCTGCCGTCGACTTACCCAACACGGCGGCGGGCCGCGCCGGGGCAGCAGCGTGTATGCTAAGCTGCCCCCGAGCTCTGCAGGGAGCGGTCTGCCCCAGTCGCCCCCCCCCTCACAGCAGCGCGGACTTGTCTGCCGCTTCCTTTTTTTCCTCCCTCCTTGCCTCCTCGTCCTCCCCCTCCCCCCCATTTGTCGCGGATACCCAAGCTTTGCAAGGAGCAGTCTGCCCCAGTCGGTCCCCCCCTCACAGCAGCGTGGACTGGTCTGCCACTTCCTCCCTTTCCTCCCTCCTTGCCTCCTCGTCCTCCCCCTCCCCCCCTTTGTCGCGGGTACGTTTTACGGGAAGTTCGTATCGTTCCAGGCTCCTGTCCTGTGCCCCGCGCTGACCGTTGGGACGTGTGCATCAGCTGGGCTCTCGTAAACAAAAAAAAAACTTTCTTTTCAGTTCGGGCCCTGGAAAGAAAGCTTGCTCGAGCAGTGGCACAGCGCCAGCGTCTCGAGTCTCAGCCCACGGAGCAAACGGAGCCGGTGTCCAAAGTCCGCGGCGAGTTACAAGTTGCCAAAGTGGAACAGACCCGCCTCGTTCAGGATCTTCATGCTTCCACTTGTGGCCCCACTGACAAGAAGGTTTCTGGCTGTCCCCCGTCCTCTGTCGTGGCCGCTATCAGCATCGAAGGCATCGTCGAGGGTAAGTCTGACTTGCCTATCGCGTTGGGCAGCTTCGGTCAAGTCGACGGCGACGAGTACGAATTGGACGAGACCTCTCGCGAAGAGGCGCAGCAGGCTCGACGCGCTGCAGGCCGACATCGACTCCTCCATCCGGGGCGCTGTCCAGAGATGCAGCCGAGGAGAGCAAGGAGGCCAAGGAGAAGCACGTCGCTCTCCTGGGCCTCCCTCGGCAGGAGAGGCGCAAGGTCGGCGAAGGGTGAGCTGCTCCAGGGAGCGCCGGCGCTGCCTGGCGAGCCACGCGTTGGCGGCCAACGGGAGCTCCAGAACACAAATCAGCCTGGCGCAGGTCCCAGCCACACGCAGTTGTGCATACCGCACTTGTGAGTACCACCTTCGCCCGCGCTCCCTATGTACAGTCGGGGCCCTGAAGAAGGAACCCTTTTCGTTGGGGAGGGGCTCCGTGTTCCTTAAATGCTTCGCAGCTCGCCTCAGGTTTTCCTGATGTTTTTGATCGGAAATCAAAGTTTAACTTATGGAAAAAAGGTGCCTCGTTCCTTATTTTGGGTTCCTTAGGTCAAGGCCCCGACTGTTCGGAGGGTACCAACTATACACCAACACCGATCCTGGCCAGTATCACCCTGGGCCCAGGATCGGTGTATACGCCCTCCTGCCTGGGGCAGGAAGGCATATACACCGACCCTGGGCGCAGGATTGGCCTGGCCAAGATCGGTGTAGGTGTACAGTTGGTGCCCTCCGAGACTGTAGCCACGGCTTCCCGCCAGAGCCCGACGTGCTCAGGGACACGTTCGTGGCCTGGCCTCAGCGCCCCCCGCCGGGGGCGCAGGCAGCGGAGCGCCCGCCCCAGGCAAGCACGAGCCCGAGGCTGCGCCCCCGCCCGCGCATGGCGCACCCCGCCGAGCCACCTCCGCAGGGCGGCAGCCGCCATCCTGCAGAGAGTTAACGGGCGAAGAACAGTACAAAATAAACTTTTCCGCCGTCGGGGGCGCGCCTGTCCCAGGGCGGCTGGAAAGTTTATACCCTTACGGTGGCACCGTAGGGGTATAAACTTTCCAGCCGCCCTGGGACAGGCGCCCCCGACAGCGAACAAATTTATGTTATACCGTTCTTCGCTCGCTGAGAGAGGGGGCGAGACCTCCCCCCCCCAAAAAAAGCGGCCCCGCACCCCGCCGAGCCACTCCGCAGGGCGGCAGCTGCCATCCTGCAGACAGGGGGCGAGACCCCCCCACCCCTAACCCAGACCCCCTCGAGGCATGAAAAAATCACGACGGAAGGTTTTTCGCTATTTTCGGCCTCTGGGGGCCCTTTACCGGCCCTCGGGACCGTCAAAAAACGACTCGGGATGAAAAACCGGTCCCGGCGAATAGGTCTGGACCTCTGGGGGTCGCGTAATGAAAAAATCATGACGTCGGGGGTCTGGGAAAAGCGGCCCCGCTGCTTGAGGAGGGGGGGGCCGACGCCGCAACCCTTGAATTGCGTGTCCTGTCTAGTCTCTGGTCCCGGCTCTCTTGGGTCGAATATGTCGGGCTCGGCGAATCGCTGACTCTTGCTCCCTTGCCCTGGTCCGGGAAGTGAGCCCCTCTTCTTCGTCTCGCAACTCCCGCTTCTCCCTCCGCAGGCCAGGATGGTTTGACCTCGCCATGCTTTTGTTGAAAGTTTCAGGGCGGGGTCCAGCATGAAGTGTCTCCTTCAGATTTCGGCCCATGCAGTTCGCGCGCAGGAGCACCGCATTCTGACCAGGGAGCGCCCGGAGAGGCCAGCTCCTTGGCTTCTCGCCGGGTTGCGAAAGGAGCTCGCTCTGCTCGTCTGGGTCGTCAGTCCAGGCATTTCAGTCGTCGCAGGATTCGCTAGCTCAGGGTGGCGGGCTCCCCACCCCCCCCGCGTCTAGCTATGGCGGGGAGTGCCCTGGGCTCCCTCGCCCACGGAACTCCTGGGTTTGAGGCGAGCCATGGGCCGTCTCCTTAAGCCTCCTGCCTGGCGCAGGTCCACCCCCACCCTCGTGCTGTGAGAAGGCGACACCTCCTGGCCGACTCGGGCTCCTTGTGTCTGCAGGTGGCATGGAGGAGGGAGAGGAGGGGGGGGAGGGGAAGGGGGAGGGGGAGGGGGAGGAGGAGGAGGAGGGGGAGGAGGAGGAGGAGGAGGAGGAGGAGGAGAGGAGGAGGAGGAGAGGTGGAGGAGGAGGAGGTGGAGGAGGAGGTGGAGGAGGAGGAGGAGGAGGGCAGCCTTCGCCCCGCGGCGCTTTCCCCGCGTGACCTTCGGGGGTTCTGGCGGGCGGTCCGGTCCCTGCCCGCCCGCACTTCGCGCTCGGGTCGCGGGCTCCCTTGCCGGCCGCGAGCACGGCTCTGCCGGGGCGGTGAGCGGTGGAGTTCCATCGCCGGCAGGGCGATCTCGGCAACGTGCGCGAGGAGGAGGAGGAGGAGGAGGAGGAGGAGGAGGAGGAGGAGGAGGGCTCCCTTGCCGGCCGCGAGCGGCTCTGCCGGGGCGGGGAGCGGTGGAGTTCCATCGCCTGCAGGGCGATCTCGGCAACGTGCGCGAGCCCCTCTACACCCTAGGCGATGCTTAAGGAAACGTAAGGTTTCGGCCAGAATCCTGATTATTCTTATTGCTTCAATGGAAAACCTTACCTTTTAGTAGAAATGGGGGGGGGTGTTCAGATTCTGAGACTGTGAATTTCTTAACCCATGATTTCTTAAGGATTTCGCAGGGTGTATGCTATGCATCCCCAGCCCGTCTCGGGATTCGCTTTCGTCCAACGTGCGCGAGCCCCTCTATTCGGGCCGGGCGAAAGGGGGGGATTGGGAAAGGGGGGGGTGCGAAATCTGCTGCATGCAGCTGGTTTCGGCCTCATCGCGGGGCCCCTTCCTCGATACGTGGTCGCCTCCGGCGCCGGGAGGCGCCGGGAAAATCAGCTACGCGAGCTGATTCTCAAACCCCCCCTTTGCTATCCCCCCCTTTCGCCCGACCCGATCTATGCATCCCCAGCCCGTCTCAGGATTCGCTTTCGTCCGGCCGTCCTCATGAGATTCGGGGGGGGGGTTATCGCGCTCAAGCGTCGCATCGTGCATGGTCGTCGATGCGTCGACGTCGCTTCGTCCCACCCGTTCTCCTTCAAGTGCACGCCACTCCAGAAAGGATCTCTTCGGGCTTGCCCTGTCGGTTGTATTCGGATGAGAATGATGGCTCGCAGTCGGGGCTTCTGGCTCCCCTCGGCCTGTGAGCTTTGTGGAGCAACGACAGGGTCTGCTTTTTATAGGCTCCGGGGCTGCACGGCCTTGGCGGAAGAGAGGAAGAAACTAGTTGACCAGAAAGAAGACGAATCGCCCCCACGAAAAGCTAATAGTTAGGACATAGAAGACAAATCCACAAGAAGACGAACCAGCCCAACCGAAAGTTAATAGTTAGAAAGACGGAAGACGCACGACGAATCCCAACAAAAAGTTCATAGTTTCGTCTTTACGTGTCGCCGCGGCAGTATGTCCCGTCGCCGGATACGTTGTGCGTCGTTTCACTCGTGGAGCCACCCCTCGCTCAGGAGACGGTTGCCCGCCCCCAGCGCACTTGGACGGCGACCCGGCCCGTGTCACTCGGCACGCATCCCCTCCCCAGCCAGACTTGCGTCACGGTCTTATGCTTGTGGATGGCTCCTGTGCGAGGAGAGCCATGGCCTCCTGGGGCGTGGCTTCGTATTCGCCTGGCCACGTGGGCCCACGTGCCCCAGACTCCTGAACCCCGGGGATGTATGGGAAGGTTGTGCGTTTGTGGCGGGGGTGCAGCTTCTTCACGGTCCCAGCGCCTTTTGGCTTCGGACTGTGAGAACGTGTTTCGCTCTGCTGCCCAGCCTCGGCAGCCGCAGCTTTCTGACACGAATCTCTATGCTGGCTACCTCCTGCAAGCCCGAACATCGGAGCATTTGCAACCTCTGTCTGCGGTGTTTCACGCTGGGTCGCACCAACAGGTTGATGGCGGTCTGATGTCTAAACAACGCAGATTGTGGAGAGTCGACTACGGCGACGCCGACAGCCTAGCAAAACACGCTTTGCAAGCTCACCCCTCCGACCCCGACCTTTCAGAGGCCTTGCAGCTTGATATCAGGCATGCTAGAGCCTATTGTAAGCTGGCCGTGCATCGCCTCCCTCGGTTTCAGTCCCCCCGTGAGTTCGGCGGCCTGGCTTCGGGCACAGGTGGCTGCATTTCGGCATTTTCTGGCGCTGCGCTCTTTGCCTGAAGGATGTCCGCAGCACGTGGCCGCGCAAGCCTCGCTTCAGTGCTTGTTTGGGTTGCAGGGGCCAGCCGCTCGACGAGATCGCCAATTTAGGTCCCAGCTGCATCGCGTTAAAATGCAGCGACGAAGCTGTTTTCCTGATGTGTGTTTCTTGCAAGGCTTACGGTTCCCATGGTAGGTTCAAGTGTCTTAGAAAGCGGCCTGCTGTCATGGACCCTCTCGTTCTGGCAGATGGGATCGGTCAGCTGTTTCCCAAGGCTTGCACCCCAAGAGGAACGATATCTCCGTGGATTGCCCTCTGGTTTCTTCGGACCTGCTAGAGCGACCCCGCGTGCGCCCATCCAGGAATGCCAGCTCATTGTCGCACACTGAACAGGAAGAACGTAGACGCGACATCGGGAATTCGCTGGCGGAAGTTGCAGTGCTGCATTATATCAGACAGTCTCTCCTTGACGAGGAGGACGAGGCCCCTCTGATGCGTCCCCCGCGTCCGTGGAGGAGGCCGAATCGGAGTCTGACTAACGAGAGCCGCTGTACTGCTTTTTCTCACGTTTTCCCTTATGGGGCTCCGCGGCACCGAGGTGGCTTGGCCGTTTCGGAGAAAACGCGCAGACTTCTCTGGAGATTCAGACATCGGGGAGAGTTCCGCCATTCTTTCTCACCAGCCGTTCTTCCTGGCCCAGCAGGTTGCCGGAGGTCCCCATTTTTCCTGGAGGTAGGAAAGGGGTATGATGTAAAGGGGTGTGGTGCTAATTTGATGTAAATGAGAATTTGGTGATATCATCTATCGCAGAAGTCATCGCCATTGCCACCATTGGCACCGTGCCCCTGTATGCCACACCCCCGTCCGACCTCCAAAATTTTCTCTGCGCCCAGGGCCTCTGCGAACCCTGAGCACTCTCTCGGGGGCGGGAGTCCCTCGCGGCTCTCCTGCTCCTCCTCCTCCTCCTGATTCTCCTCCTCCTCCACCCCTCATTATCCTCCTCCTCCTCCTCCTCCTCCTCCTTCTCCTCCTCCTCCTCCATGTGGGTGCCGCTCCGTCATATGTGCTGCCCGCTGCAGTTGTGGGCAGGCGGTCCCCATCTTCAATGCGCGGGGGGGCCATGAGCACCCTCGGGCGTGGTCACCGTCCTCGCCCAGTGAAACGAACATGAAACGGTTCAAATGAAACAGAAAGAACCTTCTCCCTACCGTCATCCTCCTCCCTCCCTCCCTCCCTCCCTTCTTTTCCTCATGTTCATCCTCCGCATCCTCCCTCCTCGCTCCCCTCTCCCTCCATCCTCCCTTCCTCTTCCCTCCATTCTCCCTTCCTCTTCCCTCATCTCCCCTCCTCTTCCCTCCTCGCCCCCCCCTTCCCTCCATCCTCCCTTCCCCTTCCCTCCATCCTCCCTTCCTCTTCCCTCCTCTTCCTTCCTCTTCCCTCCTCGCTCCTCCCTCCCTCCATCCTCCCTTGCTCCTCCCTCCTCTCCCTGTCTTCCTCCTGGCCCTGGTGCTTCCCCCCCTCCTCCGCCTCCTCCTCCTCCTCCCCCTCCTCGCCCCCGTCGCCGGCGGGGCGCCCGCAGGAACTCATTCGAGAGGCTCTTCGCCGTCTGCATCATCACGTTCGCCATGGCGGCGGGGAGCACTGCTGCTGCTCTGAGAGGTCCTGGGCAACTCCCCCCCCTCCGCACAGCTCTCGATCTCCTGCCCCCTGCCCCCCCAAGATTTAGGTCGGGCCTGTCCCCTTACAGGCTGGGAGCTTCGACGAAGAATAAGATATTCAACACATAGTCCCCAGGCTATTTTTGGAACATTTTTTGATTATTCCCAACCCTCCTGCGTTGGGTACTCGTTTTGAATAGAGCACTGTGGTCTCCACCTCCCGCCTCCTCCCGCCCCCTCTCCTCCTCTCTTCGTTCCTGCTCTCCTCTCTTGCTTCCCTTCTCCTCCTCTCTTTGCTCGTCCTCTTCTCGCTTGCCTTTTACCTAGCTTGCCCCTCGCCATCCCTGGGGGGCGGCGATCTGCGAGACTGTCGTCACTTTCGAGGGCTGCTGGGGTGGCCAGCGGAGTGACGCCCCACGGGGACTCAGATTAGACCTCGCCATCCCTGGGGGGCTGCGATCTGTGAAACTGTTGCCACTTTCGAGGACTGCTGGGGTGGCCAGCGGAGTGACGCCCTACGGGGACTCAGATTAGACCTCGCCATCCCTGGGGGGCTGCGATCTGCGAAACTGTCGCCGCTTTCGAGGGCTGCTGGGGTGGCCAGCGGAGTGACGCCCTACGGGGACTCAGATTAGACCTCGCCATCCCTGGGGGGCTGCGATCTGTGAAACTGTCGCCACTTTCGAGGCTGCTGGGGGGCCAGCGGAGTGACGCCCCACGGGGACTCAGATTAGACGCCATCCTGGGGGGCTGCGATGTGAAACTGTCGCCACTTTCGAGGGCTGCTGGGGTGGCCAGCGGAGTGACGCCCTACGGGGACTCAGATTAGACCTCGCCATCCCTGGGGGGCTGCGATCTGTGAAACTGTCGCCACTTTCGAGGCCTGCTGGGGGGCCCAGCGGAGTGACGCCCTACGGGGATTCAGATTAGACCTCGCCATCCCTGGGGGGCTGCGATCTGTGAAACTGTCGCCACTTTCGAGGCCTGCTGGGGGGCCCAGCGGAGTGACGCCCTACGGGGATTCAGATTAGACCTCGCCATCCCTGGGGGGCTGCGATCTGTGAAACTGTCGCCACTTTCGAGGGATGCTGGGGGGCCCAGCGGAGTGACGCCCTACGGGGATCAGATTAGACCTCGCCATCCCTGGGGG